ACAGCCACTGCTTGGGAATAATCTAGGTGTAGCGATGCCTATGTTCTACTATGGGTATTTCCCTTGCTTCTGGGCTTTGCTGGTTGCCCCTCTCCTCCCCCATCCCCTTTTCAGCTACATATGTGAAGGTATTTTAAGGCTTCCTCAGAGTCACTGCGTGTTGGCTTCAGCCAAGGCTGGAGACTTTGACTGGGGTGTTCCAATTCTCCTGCTGGGACCAGAGCCAGAGGTTCCTGACTAGAGGGTCTTGGCCCTCTGTACAGAGTCAAACTGATTGCCATATTTGGAGTCAGAAAGGAATTTTACCCCATGGCCAGATTGGTATGAACGGAGGGGGTAGGGTGGGAGGGGGTATTGCTTTCCCCTGTAGCAGGGGACATGGCCCTCTACCCAGGATCGCTTGAGCACATATTGACAACAGGACCCAGGATCGCTTGAGCATATAGAAGCAGGACATTGGCTGCCGTGGTTCTCCTGCTTTACCTATGGCAGTCAGGTTATGGTGTTAGGTCTGTGTTGTGTCAGGGTTGAGGATAGTCTTATATGGAGTTTAGATTATGGATTGCATAAGATGGTTTGGATAGGGATGATCCTGCCACAAGCAGGGAGTTGGACTGGATGACCTCTGGAGGTCCCTTGCGGCGCTAGCTCTCTGTGACTATGAAGTTCCAAGTGCTGTTCCTTTTGCTGGTAATTTCAAGAGCTATTTGAGTAGTTTTGAAAATCTTTCCTTGTAGGTCTGTTACAAATCTATTTCATTCTTGTGAAGATCCAAATCTGAAATTCTAATTAGCATCAATTATTACAACGCTCTCAGTTCCTGCTCATTAAATTTATATGAGCTGTAAATATGCAGCGGCACATATTTGTGGTCATTGTAAACATGCTCAAATGGGAGCCAACAATTCTTACACAGAGAAAAGCAGTCTAATAATCTGCAGGGATGAATTGCCTCAGATGAATGTTGTGCTCTAAAAGCTTAAAGAACAGCAGCCTCTTTTGGTACCTTATGTAAGCTCTTTAGTAAGTCTGCATGACTTAAAATCAACTGATTTCTTTTGTTGGCTAAAGAGTAGAGATTTAATTATTTGCTAACACAGTGGGAAAGAACTGAAAATCCACCATGCTGCATGTCTGTGAAGAAAGGAACTCTCTGTTGAGTTCAGTGGGTGCCCTGAAATCACCTCGGGTGTTTTACTATGACACAAAAGTCACTTTACAAGTGAAGTTCTGTTTAATGCCCTCTTGAAGAAATATCTTTTTAATCCTCTTAAATCTATATAAATAACGCTCCTTTATGTTTTTGATATGCTGGGTTTGCAGGCCAGTCATGAAAATGTTATCTTCTACTTATCTGTACAATGGGCAGTTGTTCTAAGTTCACACTGCCCAAGTGGGCTTTTTGAAGGGGATAAAATGACCAGAGATTGCCAACAAGGTTGCTAAATAGTGTTAAGCTGAGTCCCATTCTATTATCTTCACTCACATGAACTAGTATCTAATGCCACTGAAACTAGCAGGACCACACCACGATAAGTACTGCTAGATGTAACTGTGGAAGAAATGGGCAATTGAGGACAGATTTTATGACACAGACTCTTTTGCACTTGGAGATGATCTGAGACTTAAATTCATTAACTTGGGCTAAATACGGACCTTCAAAAAGCCCAAGACAGAAGTGCTCAGGTGTTGTGCTTTACTCAAAACACCCTAGATGAGTGCGGAGCAAACACAACTCATGTTTGCCCTTGTGGTGGGAGGGAGGGGGACTGAAGTGGCCTGCACTGACTGAGGCCAGCAGGCTGGGGGTGCTCCCGCAAGGCCCCTCTCCCCAGCCCTGACCCCCCACCAGCTGTCAGCAGTGGCTGGGAGAGAGAGGGAGGGGGAACTGAGCCCCCTCCCCCCCTACCATGCAGCTTCTCCCAATTTGCTGGCTCAGGTCTTGGTGGGGGTCAGACCAGGCCCACATGGCAAGGGGGCTTTCTTCCCCCCTACACCCAGGGCTACTGACAGCTACAGCTCAGAGTCACATGTGGCTTTTTGCTGCATCAGGAACTGGGGTTGGGGGAGATGGGGGAATGGAGCCCTACTGCCATGTGGACCTGGCCTGTCCCCCCCTCCCCCAAACACCGAGCCAGCAAGCTAGGGGGAGCCCATGCAGAAGGCAGGCTCCACTCCCTCAGCCCCCCAACCTGAGCCTCCTGACAGCTGCATGCTGTCTATCTTCCTGGGATCCTATAACCCCTGCTGACTTCCTGCCCTTTGGGCAGGGGGCTGGACTCATGATCTTCTGAGGGCCCTTCCAGCTCTAATGTCTATGAATCTATGAATCTAAGGTGGGTCCATGCAGCAGGGGCACTCCTTTCCCTCCCCGCCCTGCCCGCCACCAGTTTCTGGCACAGCAAAAAGCTGAGCAGGGTTCTGAGCTGCAGCTGTTAGAAGGCTGGCATAGGTGGGGTGGAAAGGGGTGAATGGAGCCCCCCTGCTGCACAGGCCCAGTCCAGCACCCCCAAGATCCAAGCCAGCAAGCAAGGGGGAGCCCTGCACAGCAGGGAGGCTCCATTTCCTACCCCTCTCCCTGCCTGCCTGGCTGCACAGGGAGGAGATGGAGCCTTTTTTGTCTTCTCTCTGCAAGAGACCAGGGCAGGGGCTCTCTCAGAGTTGCCAAGCACCAACTAAGGCTAGCAAGCTGCTCCGCAATGGACCCCTGGGATGCCAGCAAAATGAAACCTACCTCGACGGGATCTAGTTCAGGTGTGTAATAAAGCACTCTAATCTAAAGCACTTTAGTCTCATAGCACATCCATTCAGGGTTCACTTAAAGCAGGATCCACCATTTTCAAAGCACTCTATGTGCTGTGAACATCTGTTCAGCTATGGCTGTAGAGAGCTTTCTGCGTGCTTACTGCACAATACGTATAATGCCTGTACCTAGCCTTAATTGTTAAAGCCATCACATTTTTCTTAAAAATCTATACACATTTTCCATCAGCTATATTTTTTTCTTTAATAGCCTCTTTTATCTGAAAATCTCAAAGCACTTTGCAAAACATTATTTAGGTTTATCCCCATTTCTCTTAAATTTCAAAAGCAGGAAGTGAGACACTTGTCCAAGGGCAAGTAGTAAGATGGTAACAATAATATATAATAGATCATTCTGTTAATGTAGGAAATGATCTATAGTATAAATGATCTATTGCAAATGTCCAGGAGTGAAAATTGTGCTGGCTTTATCAGAGAATTGTGTTTGCAAATTATGCCTCAAGGATGTCATAAGTTCACGTTCCATACTGAAGAATCAAGCCACTTTTTGCAATTATGATTCACTGAAGTAAACAGAAAAGACTCAAGATAGACTGTCATAGGGTCTCAGCTACCACTAAGATCATTACAGAAATAAAAGATTTTCATCATTCCAAGTTATGGCAATGTAAAGATATGGTGACTTTTACTAAAGAAACACAGAGACATTGGCAATAACTGCTACATGAATAGACATTACACCTAAAGTACAAGATATCTTGGAAACAGGCTTTGTAAAACATTTAAGTTCTTTACAGTTAGGCAAGTTTTGGCTTGCTATAATTTAGAACTTAATTATAATGTCTGCTTTGATACCATTTCTTATTAATGCTAGCTTTAATTGCAATTTTCACTGTCCTATTCCAATACCATCTCCACGGGTTCTTGAGACAAAGAATTTTGATTAAATTCCTTGCCTAGGGCCTAATTCTACCCCCCACCCATTCCCCGATACACATGTACATTTCAAACAGAAGCCAATGAGTGTTTGTATGTACTGCTGAGGGTAAGATGGGATTAATACAATACTTTTTGCCTTTGCGTTGGTACAAAATACTTCTAACTTGAATGAACGTACATCTAGCCCTGGAAATGTCAAGGCATAAAGGCCAGATTCTCAACTAGTGGGACTGGGGCAAGTACAGAGCATTCAAGAGAGATCCTTTGGATGAATATGTCTCTTTGAGAATATAGCCAAATATCTATAGATTACTGACCACTATTATGGCAGCGTCTTTTTAGGGGCAGGTTGATTTGAGCCCAGAGAAAATACATAGAAAACTGTTCTCTTTGCGGCAGAGCTACACAGTCACGTTCCATGGAAATCTGTGTTGTGTTAAATGGAAATTATTTGTCTTTTGCAACATGATAAATCAAGCATATTCAAATAAACTACTGATCCTCTGCCCATGATGCAGCAGATTTTTGTTACAAAAACATTAAAAGGATCTGACAGCTTTTGGGAACATTTTCAAGTCACCACAATGGCAACCATAGCCCTCATCACTGCGACCCTTTTGTCAGAACTAAAGAATACAAAGTATATTTGGTAACGTGGAAACCAGGAAATATGAAGGGGAAAGAAAAAGAGAGTGACAGACATTATCATTAATATTGTTTAAATAAAGCCTCAGGTGCTAAACTGGAGTAAACTTGTCTAGCTCCACTGAAGTCAATGGAGCGCTATTGATTTACTCCATTTAGGATCCAATCCTAAGAATTTCTAAAAGAGACTGATTAACTTCCCACTACCAGGGGGATTTATATCGACATTGCTTGGTCGTGTAACTGCCACAGAAATACACAGGATAGCTGGTTTCACAACATGCAAAATCAAAAGAAAGACTGTCAAACAGTTCATTAATAATGTCAGGGTCTGAGGTTGGAGAGATACATGCCCTGATTCTTCATTGTGCTACACGTTTTGCATTTAACTTCACTGCCTGTTGTAGTAGAGTGAGCTGTACAATCTTAAACACTACATTTAGTAAACTTAATAGGAAGTGCCCATAGGTATTGTAGTTCGAACTGCTTGTAGGGAGCCACACCTTCAGAAGATTCATCAGAATAGTATCAACAATGAAACAAAGACTTAAAGAGGGGCAGGGGAAGAAAAAAAATAAAATAATCCAATTTGAAATGACCAGTGACTTCTAAAATACAAAACACTTTGGACAGAACATACAGAACATGCTTACCTGTGTAGTGCACCACGCATGTCTGACCCTTCTTTGGAAATGTCCTCCCTGTTGAAAATATAAAATCTAATTAAAAAAACCCTTTGGTAGTATGCCTGCTCATGATCAGCTTTTAGAATGAATGGGATGAAGAGACTAGGTTGGGGACTAAATCCAGGATTGGTTTAGGTCTGACTGACATTTTATCCAAACGGCCAATATCCAGAAGGGCAATAGGTAACTATGGCTTAGGAGAGAGAGTTCCCATTATGATCCATGTTTAGTTTTGGGAATAATACTAGCGTGACGGGCTAGCTGACAGTGACCTGGCCCAGGGGTTTTGAAAGGGCAAAAGATGATTGGAGGACTTGGGATTCCCTTTCCTCACCAGTCAGGCCCCAGAGACTCACCCCCACCCTTGTCCCGACTGGCCCCTAGTGTCACCTGGAGGGGGATAAAAGGGGCAGCATGGGCTGACTCAGGGGAGAGACCAGCGAAGGACAACAAGGAAGGAGCTTCACAGAGCTGGCAAGAGCTGAGCCAGCGGGGTAGAAGCAGTGCCCTGGAAGAGCCTAAAAGAGCAGGAACTGCAGGCAGCAGTGGGACCCTCAGCAGCGCAGCGTGTGGCCAGCAGGAGAGGCTCCCCACTGGGCTCCAGGATCCCCTAGGAGAGGTTGCAGCCAGCAGGACAGGCTCCCCCCGCTCCAGGAAGGATCTGAGCATCGGCCTGAGAGGTTCCCAGCTCTGCCTCCAGCTCCTCCAATTTGGGGGTCGGACTAGATGATGGGGGTCGGACTAGATGATCTGCTCAGGTCCCTTCCGACCCTAGAAACTAGAAACTAGAAACTATGAATCAGAGGCCAGGCAGCGCGACGTGAGGCCGGGGCTCCAGGAAGGTCAAGACCCCTAGCCAGCTGGTGCAGTGTCACCAGTGGTGGCTGTGTGGCAGTGTTTCTACCCTCCACATGGGAGATCTTGGTTCAAATCCCAGCTGTGATGACCTGGGGTGAGTGAGCTAATAAAAAGTGAATCTTCTTGCAGTGTAAAGGGGCCATTGTGTTTTCTCCCCCTCCAGGTACCAAGGCCCTGTATTTCCTTGTCATTTGACATTTTGCATTTTGTGCCTTTTTATATTTCACCAACCCGTATTGTTTGTTCTGCTGTTTGTGTTTGATATTTTGTTAACCCTGTTTTTTGTCAATGATTGTAAGTGTCTAACCTTTGTTGAATCCTGCCCCCTTGGGGCATTGTAGTGTCTACTATACCCTCTGAGTTATGCCTGTTATGTTCCCAGTATTAAAAGGTATACGGTTAAGTCCCCATTGGTGGTCTGGCTCTGCTCTGTAGGGGAAGGAGAGTCCCTACACCTCCCACAGTGCTTGTGCACCTGCTTTGATCCCTTCAGTTGGAGAGGGGGTACCTCTTGGAGTACCGCCCGGGTTACACTAATATTTTCTCATAATAATATTGCCTTTTCCTTTCATACAAGTATAACATATTTTATACTAACTGTAACATTAGATGTTCCCCATCAATGGACTATATCCTGTTGTTGCAAGGGAATTCTCTAAAAGCATAATGGATAGATCATGATCTTAAATTTCTCTGAGCCATTTTGCTGGCACTCACAAACAAAATCAAACTCTGGGATAGTGGTAAAGTTCACTGTTAGTATTCATAATTCAAATGCCACATATTTAACATCACTTTTATGAGAACACATGCAATTGGTAAATGGGAAAGCTTCCCAAAAATCCTTTATCATGCAATATAAATGCATTTTTTAAATTGGCAGCCTTGAGGCAGTATGCCACTGATATCCTGAAAGGAGCTCTTGGAAGCCCCTCTGTAACAATGGTTATTGTCCCTTGTTCTGACACTAGGCATAAGAGAGTGTTTGAATGAAGCACTTGCCATTGCTGAGAGTTACTCATCCACCCTAGGTTCTGCCACCAGGCTTGGACAGGCATATAAAGGTGCAGGGACATTTTCCAGGACACGTCCAAAACTTTCAAAGTAGCAGCAGATTAAAACAGATACCACTGATTTGCAGAACTGATTGGGCAGGCACAGGACCCAGGCTCAGCAGAACTGATCTGCAGTATATGAGATGGGATGTACTAGTGGAGAAACAACCGAGACAGGAGCTTCAGAAGTTGGATATTAAGGCAGGATCCTGCGCCAACCTCCATGATGGCCTTCTGTTGTCTCTTCTGTCTGAGTTTCGTGTGCTAACATGGCATGCTTTATTATCAGGTATGATCTGAGATGCACAGTTGTACAGCAGAAACAAACAGTAGGAGGAGGGCAGAAGAGACAGTAGGCAAGTCAACCAAAGATTCCTAACATATAGCCATAAATAGTGAAGAGGTTTCCAAACCTTTTACAAACTGCCTACTCTGTTTAGACTGGGAAATGGCAGCAACTGCTTCTTACAATATATTTGTTCAATGCCTAGAACAATGGGGCTGTGATCTTGGTAGCCATAGCTAATGCTACTGCCACCCACAACAGGCCCCAGGGAAAGGATATGCTATTAGATTCAGAACTAAATCAGAAGGAATACGGCATCAGTCATCTCTGACCCAAATTCCACATTAGTAAAAGTAGGTGTTATGCTAATAAATTCAATGGACCTGTATCAGTTTGCATGACGGCTGAATTACTGTTGAGTAGATCTGGGGCAACAGTACATACTAACTGTGGTTTGATGACACTGTTCAAATCAAGCAGTTTAGATGAAGATTTACAAACCAAAGAAAAGATATTTATAACTTTAATTTGAACAGCATCTTCCATAGTTAGCACATCTCTGCACAGGTAAATAATACAATTCCAAGACTAAATTCCATCCTCAGCGCCACTTACAATAGCTGCCCTTCTTCCATGTATGGAGATCCCCCAAATTTAGGGCAAGTGGGAGCATCATTTGGCCCTCAAAGCTAAACAATGACAGCAGAAGAAGAAAATCAAGCGTAGAAAAGAGCTCAAGCCAAGAAAGGTAACCCAAGGATGAAGCTGGCCCCTTCATATGGCTGTATATTAGCAATGGTATTTATCATCAGAGGTAGTATGGGGATGCCACATGCCCAGAGCAGAGCAGCCATTACTTGGTCGTGAAAAAGTGACCTCATAAACGAAGATTAACGTTCTGTCTAAACCTGAGCTGCCCATTGCAAACCTGGGAGAAATGGCCAGGCCTGTCAAAATGCTGCTGCTGTGCCAAACATTGATGCCGTACCTGGCCAAGGGTTCATGAAAAGCTTTGGAAACACATTTAGGAAACTCTGGGAGCCTGCATGTGAAAGGCTCACTTCGGTCACTGCTACTCGCACTACTCTGCAGTCGTGTCTCACGTTCATTCCCAGGCTCTCTCCACGGGAGTCAACTGTAACGTGGAAAAGTGTAACGTGGAAACAGGAGTGGTGTCAGCAGACAAGCGCCCTAAAAGCTGTCTTGCTGCTTCTGCCCCAAGCACGCCTCCACCAGGATGGGCTTGGGAAGCAGCCGGCACTGGCCACTGCCTGGGGGCTCCCGCGCCTCAGGCAGAGAAGCGCACTGCACTGGCATTTGCTCTCGTTACCCCTTGTACATGACTTCACCACACTTGGATTTATGCAGCTGTCAGCAAATGCCATTGAGACAGCCCGGCCCGCTGGCAAGGCAAGGGGCAGCCACCCGCTGGCACCCACAGACCCTGCCGCAGCCGCAGCCAGGGATGCGCCCACCCACCTGTCTCCCCTGCAGCCCCCGGCTGCTGCGGCTCCCCTCTCACCAGCGAATGCCCCCCCTGCCCCCGGGGCAGCTCCCAGCCCCTCGGCTCCCACGTCCTGCCCCTGCCCCTGCACGGTACCGTCTCCCGGGGAGATGGTCTCCAC